ACCATTAATCCCAAGAAACATCATGACAAATAACACACATTATAAAACCTAACAGTGTGAAGGAGTTAAGTGTATGTGAATTAACTTCTCACCCAGTAAGGAATGACATGTGCAACAGGTGTCACCTGACCATTATCCAGTGACTGCTAACACAGTGTAGAGGGGATAAAATTCTTTGGAACCTATCTCTCACCTGGAAAGAAGCAACATGAGCGACAGGTGTCACTGGACTGTTATCCAGTGACTGCTCATTTCAACCGAAAAATAATACTTGAGACATGGATCATCTGAACATTGAACAACTGTGGCCAGCTAGGTAATGTAAAACAGGAAATGACTAGGCTAAAAATCGATATCTTAGATGTATATGAAAATAGATGGCCAAACAACAGAGATTTTGTCAGTGACAATCACAGGGTTATTTATGCAGGCAGACAGAAAAATAATAAAGGAGCAGGATTGATACTAGATCAAGAATTCAAGAAATGTGTTCTGGGATACTACTAATTATCTGAAAGAATTCTGGTAGTTAAGCTGAAAGGAAAGCCTTTCAAATTAGCTATCATATTAGAATATGCATCAACAGTACAAAGTAAGGAAGAAGAAATTGAATATTTCTACTCTATGTTAGACAATGCTAAGACTCATTGCAAATAGTCATAATTATCATGGGAGAACTGAACACCAAAGTAGTCAAGAAGAGGGCAGGGGATATAACTGGAAAATTCGGACTAGGATCCTGCAACAAACGTTGCAAAAAATGGATCTAATGGTGGACAGCCAACAACCAGGTAATAGCTAACACATGGTTCAAAGAACATCCAAGATGATTATGGGCAAGGAGCTACCCAGGAGGAGAAAATAAAAACCAAATTGACTACATAGCTAACAACAAAAGATTCAAGAATAGAATGGTTCACTGCAAAACTTACCCAAGTGCCAACTGCAGAAGTGACCATTGCCCTGTTATATGTAAACGAAGAGTGAAACTATGAAACTGAAGAAGCCTAACGCAGCTCCCAAATTGCAATATAACAAACTCCCCAGTGACCTGTACCTGAAAGAAAAATATATGGACAGTGTGAAAAGAAGATACGAAGGACACAATGGAAATGAAAACTTGAAATGGAACTGACCAAGAGAAGCTTTAGTGACATCAGTAAATGATAGCACTCCAAAAAAGAATGGATGAAGAAGAAAAAAAAAAATGAATGGATGACTGATGAGATGTTTGACATGATACAAAGGAGACAGAAAACACTGCCAAGATACAGAATGGAATACAGAAAACTACACATCAAAATAAGGACCAAATACAGGCAGGTTAAAGAAGAGTGGCTAAACAAAAAATGTGCAGAAATAGAGAGATTGAGTACCACCAACAAAGGTAATTTTGTTTTTAAGTATTTCAGCTCAAGCAAGGTAGGAGTGCCACTAGCACACAAGGGGTTACAGAGAGTGGGAGCAATAGTAAAGAGGCATGATAGAGGAAAGGATGAAGAGAAACATGGGGGAATAGGTCAAGGTATCTGGATATGTCGATTGAGATTGCATTTGAATATTTGGAGATTATAGCTATCAGGGAAGCAAGTAAGAGAAAGGGAGTTTCAGACGGGAAGTACAAGACATGAAGCTATTGGAGTAGAAGAGATGGATGCATAAAAATATAAGAGAAGTAACAGGACAGAAGACATGCTCATCAACAGGCTGCATAAAATCAAAGGATGGAACGCTAATATTAAAAAAGGGAAAAATTCTTCAGCACTTGAATGAACATATTGGAGAACTCTTCCCTGATGAAAGAGAACAACCAGCAATACACAGAACTACTGATGTGCCCGAAATTCTAAAAACTGAAGAAGTTGAACTGGTCAAATTGAACAGAAACAAGGTGGCAGGGCCAGACGGAATTGTACCAGAAATGCTGACAGCTTTAGATGATTTTGGCATAGACAAGATTACAGAAATAATAAATGAAATCTACAACAGTGGTGATACAACGGAAGTTCTTAACAGATCTATTTTCATAACACTTCCTAAGAAATCAGGCATAAACAAATGTGAACTCCACCAAAAAATCAGTGTAATGAGTCACATAACAAAACTCATCCATATTCTGATAAATAGAGTGTGCAGAAGAATCAGGCCAGAGATAGAACGAGAACAATGCGGCTTCATTAAAGACACCTGAACAATGAACGTGATATTCATGCTCAAAATGTTATCAGAAAGAGCAATCCAAATGCAGAAGGACATGCATCTATGTTGTATAAACTACGCAAAGGCATTCAACAAAGTACACCACAAAGATCTGTTGGAACTGCTCAGCAACCTTGATATATTTGGCAAAGATATTAGAATAATCAAGAACCTATACTGGTAGAAAACTGCCTGCATACAGATAGAAAATGAGTTCAGCAGATATGCAAAAATAGAAAGGAGCGTAAGGCAAGGATGTGTCTTCTAATTCTGAGAGAATTAGAAATCTTACCAGAATTCATCATTGGCAACCACAACCATAATATATGCAGATGACACAGTGCTGATAGCAGACATGGAAAAGAAATTACAAACCTCCTGCAGAAGTTAGCAAAGGAGAGCGATAAGAAGGGATTAAGCATAAAGTACAAGATGACGGAATGAAAAAAGATGAACCCAAAATGCAATTTACAATTCGGGAACACTAAAATCAAGCTGGTGAGGAAATTTAAATATGTAGGAAGTGTTCTGACAGAGGATGGTATTTATCAATTCACCCACAGGAATTGAATGTGGCACAAGGCCTTTTTAATGTGGGTATGTCTGAGCCCGTAGGCCCAGCCAAAAAATAAAACCCATCTCAACCCGTCCAAGCGGCTAGTTCCGTCAACCTCCCCGAACAAAACCCCACCCTTCATGACTTCGTCCGGGTTCCTCTCTGCAAGCAGAGAGTTCGACAGACACCCGACCCGGCAGCTCTCAAAGCGCAGATACTACACTTTGATCCTAGCCACCGGTCCGAGCGGGTATTCTTTTTGTGGATAAAAAAAAAAAAAAATCCTGACAGAGGATGGTAAGTGGCCAAAAGATGGTGGCCAAAGATGCATTCCAAAAGCTAGGCAGAGTATTACGAGACAGGATGATTTTGTTGATAAAGCAAAGAGTACTGAACTGCTATGTGATATCTGTCCTCCTTCATGTCAGCAAATGTTGGACAATTCTCTCAAAGATGAAGAAGAGACACGAGGCAACAGAAGTATGGTTCTACAGAAGGATGCTAAGGATACCATAGACCAAACATGTGAGTAATGATGAGGTTTTGGAGAGGATGCAAACAAGGAGGAAGCTTATACTTATCAGCTGAAATTTCTGGGACATGTAATGAGAAAGGAAGCCTTGGAGAATCTGATACTCACAGAGCAGATAGAGGGAAAGAGAGATAAGAGAAAGCAATGTGTGACATACTTAATGGGCTTAAGCAAGTGGGTAGAAGAACAGGGTCTGGGAGAAGTAGGAAAAGGACAAAACACATTGAGAACTACAAAGGAGAGGAAGTGGAGAGCCATGATCACCTACGTCCTGAAGGGACATGGCACATAAAAGAAGATACAAGGTCAAATTTATTTTGTCATTTAAATTGTTCAAGAGTGACCAGAACAAGTCTGAAGGCAACACGTCAGGAGAATAGAGTGGGTGTTGGAGGGTTTCCCATTTCTCTTTAAGCTTCTGCAAGGTCTGTTTTTGCAACATGTTGTCTTGTGGTGGAAAATGACCCCTTTTTCATTTGCCAAAGCATGGGGTCTCTGAGAAAAACACCTGTTCATCATGATGGGTGAAAATTCAGGGACTGCTTTGTGATGATAGAGCTGTTAGAGCTAGGTCACAGGAGAGATCAGCTGCCAAGCTCTGGTCATCTAGGAGTTTTGAAGGTGCACCCATATACTGTTGTATCCTCAGCATAAATATTCACAAAAGATCTGTGTATACTCTTAAGCAAATTAGAAAAAGAGTTGTACCAAAAAGTGAGCCTTGGGGAATGCCTGTGTCGATCACTTGGGTCTTGGAGGACTAGCCATTAACAACTCCCTTCCTGCTAGGAAGGACTTGATAAGACTCTTCCAATGATTTCATAGTTGGAGAGCTTGTGCAGTAACCCTCACTACCACACCTTGTCAGAGGCCTTTGAAATATCTAATTTGATCATCCTTGAGTTATATTGTCTAGTGCCTCACTGATTCTTTGAGTAATAGCAATTATATCATGAGTGGACCAAGGAAAACAAAATCTGTACTGCTTGTCACTCAATAGGTCATACCTGCTGAGGTGATCAACAACCTTTTTGTTGATTGTAGCTTCAAAATGTTTGCTAATGACCCTGAAGAGGCAAATGGGTCTATAGAGAAATGGAGATGAATGATCACCCACATTCTTGAAAACAAGGTATACATTTGACACTTACCACTGACTTGAGAAGGATTTCTCCTTCAAGCAGCAGCTAAAGAGTCGATAAAAATCCTAGCTTCATTCTCATTGTGAGCATCACCCACCTCCTTGGATATCTGCCAATTAAATGCCAACTACGTGAAAGACAAAAATCTTTTGTTTTAGCGCCTTTTCAGAAATGGAAGTTCTTTCAAGAGAATGCACCATTCCTTACATATTTTTTTTCTTTTAGTTAGTGTATTTTCTTCCTTGGTCACATCTTTGGCTAATAATAAGAGACACAGTTCCTATAGTCCTGATTACATAGAAGTAAATCCTTCTCCAAGAGTTTTAGAAGATAAAGTGATATTTCCAGACAGAATTTTGCCAATCGCCATCAGAGTTATCAACCACAAGACCAAGCCGGAGACTTTATTTATACAGAACTCATTGCCTGTCTCCTGATGTCTCAAAATGGTTGTGCACTTATAGGCTTTAGAAACGAAGCATTCCTTCACACTTGTAGAGATTGAGTTGGCAATCTTTTTATTGTTGTTTCACGTTTTTGTCTTTTCTTTTGCTTGAAGAATTGGATAGTCTTAAAAACAATACAAAGTAGTGAATTCTATAGGGAAGTAAGAAAGAAAAAAAATTGTTGATCCATATAAAACCGAAAGAAAGATAGAAAGAAAAAAATTATTATTAGAGACAGGAAGACTAATAAAGAATATAAAGAAATGTATTATCTGTAAGAGAAAAGAGAAAAGAGAAATTGGAAAATGATAGAGAGTGGGGAATTTTGAAAGATGTAAAAAGAAGAAAAAAGAGTATGGTGAAAGATTAACAAAAGAAGTGAAAAGAAATACGTATAAGATGAAGAAAGTGTAAAATAGAGAAAGATTGACAAAGACAAAAGGAGAGTAAGATGAGGAAAAGGGAAAAGAGAACTAGAATGAAAGAGATAAACAAATGAGAAGGAAAATGAAGCGAAAACATTTTAAAATATAAAAAGAAGAAAAAAGATGTTGAAAGATTATCAGAAGAAGAAAAAAAGAAAAATATTCATCAAATGAAGGAAGAATTAAAAATAGAGAATGGCAAAGAAAATGGAGAATAAGTTGAGGAAAAAAAAAAGAAGACTGTAATGAATTCTATAGGGAAGTAAAAAGGAAAATACTTTTAGGTACACATAAAACCAAAAGAAAGATAGAAATAAAAAAAATATTAGAGAGAAGAAGGCTAATAAACATTAGATTATCTAAGGAAGAAAAGAGAAGGCTAATGAAAATGGGATTATCTGAGAAAGAAAAGACATGGAGGCTAATAAAAATTGGATTATCTGAAGGAGAAAATAGAAGAAAGCTTATAAAAATGCAATTATCTGTGGAATAAAAAAGAAGACTAATAAAAATAGGATTATCTGAGGAAGAAAAGAGAAGAAAGCTAATAAAAATGTGATTATCTGGGGAAGAAAAAAAAAGATGTAGAAAGATAGTGTAGAAAATGAGAGAAAGATTTTTTTAAATACAAAAAGAAGAAAAAATGATGGAGAAGGAATAGCAGAAGAAAATAAAGAAATACTCATAGAATGAAGGAAGAATGAAAAATAGAGATAGAACAGCAAAGAAAAACAAAAGCTGCGGAAAAAGAAATGACAGTGTATTGAATTCTATAGAAAAGATAGAAAAAAATAAAAAATGTATAAGAGAGAAGGCGGCTAATAAAAAAAAGAGAGAGAGAGAGAGAATGATGCAGAAAAGGAGAAATAGAAAGAAAAAATGAGAGTGAAAGATTAACAGAAGAACAAAAGAAATATAAAATATTAGGAAGAGTAAACAAAAAAAAGAAAGAGGATGGCAAAGAAAATGAAGTAAGGTAAATGAAAGGGGGGGAATATAAAAAGAAAGAGAAAAGGAGACAAAGAATAAGAAGAAAAAAAAAACAGAATAAGCAAAGAAATAAGAAGACAGACAAATAGAAGTGATATAGCGTTAAAAATGAAATAACATCAAAAGGCAAAAATGAAAAAATAAAACCAAAGTGGGTGTCTGAGAGTAAGAATCATTTTTTCTTCCCTTTCTCAAACCAATCAGAATATTTTCAGGGATCTTGATGGCCTCATTTTCAGCTTGCATTTCTTTCACCTTTTCTTCCCTTGCTTGCAGCTGTGATTAATACATGGACTCAAGTATTCCTTAATAGAATTCAGATTTCTCTCTGACCATGACTAGCCATAAATATGATACTAGAAGACATCAAGCCCCACAAACGTTACCCCCTGCCCCCTAGCTAGTTCCATCTGACCAACTAATATTTTTTTCTTTTTTATTCTCTTGTGCAGGGGGCACCTGACTTAATCACAGTGTAGCTGTGGGGTATGATGCATATCGTTAACATTTGCTGCAAGAGTTCTTGTGATTTTCCACATTCTCAGAAGTGGGTTTAGGTTCAGAGAATGGGAACGACCACTTTAGGTTAATTAGATCCAGGCAAATGGAATGAGGAAAAGTTCAATTCATGTTATCAAAGATATTTTTCTTTTTCTTTTTTTAATAAACATTTCTCTATTTTATTTTTTTATTTATCTTTTGGGGTTTTGTCTTTAAGAGATTTTAACTTTTACGTTAGATTAATATTGCTTGTCTAAAATATAAGACGACAGGTGTGGCTTATCAAAAGAAAGTTTAACTTTGAGATAAGATATATATATATATATATATATATATATATATATATATATATATATATATATATATATATATACACACACACATAGATACACACACACATATATATATATATATATCTGTGTGTGTATATATGCATGTATGTGTGTGTGTGTGCATTTGGGCAGCAATCCTTCTTTTATGCAAGTTTTCTTAAAAACGACTGACAAGATACTGTGGTTAAGTTTTTTTATATAATTTTTCGTGTGTTCTTATATTTTTTTTCTTTTCAGGGTATAAATTATATAAAAATTGTCTACATATTTTTGGCTAGACTTTTATAAAAGAAAAATCCAACTCAATGATATCAACTATGAACATGGCCACAATATGCTGACCGTGTTTGGAAAATAAAATATTTCTATAACACTAGACACATAGATAAACAATTCATATATTCAGTTGAAAGTAAGTGTAAATAATCCTTGATAATGGTTAAAATTATAGCCAAAAGTGCTGGGATATATAAAACATTTGGACAATTTTTATATAATTTAAGTTATTTAATATAATTTGTCAATCATATTGAACAAAACTTATATATATATATATATATATATATATATATATTAATCATTTCACCCAAGGCTTGTGTAGAGCCAAATACAGAGAATTCAGGTTCTGAATTCAGAGTAGTCTTTCTCCTAGAGCAGATAGGACCCAATTAGTCCTGCTATTTACTATATATATATATGTGTGTGTGTGTGTGTTTATAAGACTATCTCAATCAATGAAACTATTATTAATCTAAAAGTATTATCTTTTAGAGATGGAATGCATTACTTTAAGGATTTTTTTCTAATATGTCATTCAGTTACACACTACGATATGTATTATATGTTCCAGTAGTTTTTTTTATTTTTATTTTTTATCATTTCACCCCAGGCAAGGTAATAAAGCCACTAGGACGCAAGGGGTTACTGAGTGTTAAATATGAGAAAAACTACTATTAAGGAGAGAGGACAATAAAAGAACAAGAATTAAGAAGGCAGAAGATAACAACTGACATTTCATTTAGGTCTTTCAAGATAGTGAAGCAAGATGCTGGAAGAGAGTTCCACAAGCAAAATGTGCAAGAAACAAAACTGTTAGCATAGAATTTATGGTTACATCTAGCCATTTGAACTGTGAAATAATGAGACCTTGCCACCAATCTAGTACTGCAATGGTATTAGAGAAAAAGAGGCCATAAACGCTTACATCCTGAATGGCACTTAAAAAGGAGAGAAAATTCCTTCTGAAGAAGAAACTTTTAGCATAGAACTTCTAGCCATTTCAACTGTAAAATGATGAGATCACCAATCTAGTACTGAACTTAAATTCATAGAATTTAGGTAACATAGAGAACAGTTCATCAGAATAATTACTATGAAAATATTTATAGAAAAAGTACAGGGAAACTACATTATGGCAGTAGGAAAGTGACGGAAGATGAGATACTAGGTCAGTATCCATTACATTGCAGATTTTTTGGATATTATGAATCCATACAGACATAACAGAAGCCAACATTTATATTAAGCGTTCTTGATAGATAGATATTTTTTATAGCACTTTGATTTGATCAGTGAGACATCTACTTCAAGGAGATGGTAGTATGTCTCTTATAGGTAATTGAGTTATAATTATATATGGTGTGATGAATAAATTGTCACCTAAATGATGCAAAAATGAAAATAATATTGACTCAAAAATATCTTTAATAATATAAAATAATAATTACTCAAAAATATCTTTAAATAAATATCTTTAAAAGTAAATTTATTCAATAAAATTGCCATTGGTATCAACCATGGCCTCCAGACAACTTCAGAATATCCAGCAACTCTTCTAGAAGGTGTCCTAGTTTAAGTTGACATCTCATTTTAATAGAAATAATAAAGAGTAAATTTATTCAATAAAATCCTTACTGGCTTCCACAACAGCCTCCAGATGATTTCAGAATCTTATGCAACTATTCTGGATGGCCTCCTTGTTTAAGTTGGTAAGTGCTGCCATAATCCTTGCTTTCAATTCATCTTTGGTATTACAAGGAGTTTTGTTGGTTTCTTGTTCAACTGCACTCCACACATAATAATCAATGGAGTTGCAGTCTGGTGAGTTAGGTGACCAGATGTAAGGAATGATGTGGTCACAGAAATTGTCGAAGAGCCATGACTGAATTCTCCTGTTTGTGTGGCATGTTACAGAGTCTTTTTGCCAGACACAGTCTCTCTTGATCCAGGGCAGCACTACCTCCTTAAGGCACTTAATGTAGGCCTCTGTGTTGAGTTTGAGGCCTTCACCAACAAATTTGGGAGATTTTTTCTTTCAGAACAATCAGAGTGAGTTTTCCGAGCTGCTGTACCTTCACAATCACCATTAGACACATCCAATTCCGAATTCTCTGCACTGTCCTCAGACTGACATCCAAACACACTGAAAAGTTTGTATTGGTGCTTCTGGTATGAATGCCAGGCAATACAGCAAGACGTTTCCAAATTTTTGGTAGAGCAAATTGCATCATGATGCTCTTTTTCTCACAGACAGTGCCCAGCTGACTCTACTATACTGTGCAATTGACAAAATCTAAAAGAAAGTGTATTTGCAAAATTAAAAATATAAAATGGTGACAATTTACCCATCATAAAACAAAGAGAAAATGACAAGCTTGCATTCCCTTCACAAAAATATATAGGCAGGTGATCATTAACTCACTTCTTTTGTTTAAAAAATTAGGATGGTTTATATTTTTCAGGATTATTTATTTCTCAGAAAGACTTAGGTTACATCTGTTGCTTTTCCTCCAGAAGGATTTAGCTTTTGTTACTGGTAATAATTAGGTTTTCATTCTCGCTTTTTAGTTTCCAGAAAAATTTAGAGAGGGCAGTCCTGTTACTATATTTGATATTGCCTAATGACATTTGGTGGTAGAAGCACAATTTCCAATGTTTTTTTTGTAGAGCTCACCTAAAAATTGGTCTCATTGTCATATTTGATTTCAGCTTTATAAATTAATGATTTAGACATGCATTTGTGGCTTAATGGTTAGGGTTTGTTTTTTCTGAAATTGCAATTATTAATTGCGGGGATGTTGTTGTTTTGAAGGTTGTTGAAGTATCTATTTAGAATGGAACAGTTGTGCTGTGCTACATACTGGTGGATGGTTTTAGCATAACTGTAGCTGACTTTGACGTTTTTGTTGAACATTTTATTTTGTGTTGGGGAATGACTGAAGTGCTTATGGATTAAATTCAAAAAATTTTTCTGATATTAGTTTTGATGTTTTTGTTGAAGGGCAGGTTAGACTATATAATATTATGTTTGTGACGTTTTGGTTTGTTGGCATCATTATTGTTATTGGCTAAGAATTTGAGGTTAATTTTATGGTTACTATGTTCTAGTGCTTCTACATATTTACCTTCATGTTTGTCAAAAATGTCCTTATTGCTACAGTTGGTGGACAGCCTAAATTGGACTGACTTATGTAAATTATTCTGTATTCTAGGATAGTAGTTGGATTGTTTGCTGATGTATCTATGGTTGTATAAATCATTAGTATGGAGTCAGCAGTATTATGCTTGTGGACATGACCTCAATGCCAGACTGTCATAGGCTTTAGGAATGTGCAATGCTACAGCCCAGGTTTCAGCATTTTTATCTAGGGCATGATAGACTTTTTTCATAATTATCGTCAGTACATCAGCAGTTGACCTGGAGAACCAAAAGCTGTATTGCTTGTCTGAGAAAAGGCCCTGTGATGAGAGATGATGCACCATTTCCACATTGATTAGGGCCTCTAAGAGTTTCCCAAAAAGAGGTAGAAGGTTAATAGGCCAATAGCTGAATAGGTTAAATGGTTCACCAGATTTTTTAAAAACTGAAACAACAGGCAGCGAGATATTTATTATACAGTTTAGAGAGAACAGAAACCATTTTGGAGCACACTTCATAATGATTATTACAGGGATACTATTGGGGTTCACATGCTGTGTGGGGATCCAGGTTAGAGACAATAGCAGAAACCTTGGAAGGGGTTACATGCATATGACTCAACAAAGAATCAGTTCTAAGTGTGAATTTAGGCAGGGATACTCCACATGAGTCAAGAGTAGCATTTGAGGAAAATTTACAGGGAAAGCATTCAGCTTTATCAGCAGAAGATGATAACACTTCAACTTGACTGAAGAGGTAGGTAATAGATTCCTTGCACTTATATATATATATATATATATATATATATTATAATAACATAAAATCCTAACTTATATAATAACCTCAAAATCTTATATATATATATATATATATATATATATATATATATATATGGACTGAATATTATGTTCAAGCATGAAACAGAGTGTGACCATTGGTGGTGACTTCAGTGTCCACTTATTTTTACAGACTCTTTCCCTGATATTGAGCACTTT